TGTTTTATAACATTTTCAACCCGATGGAAATTTTTTTTCTCGAGGGATTTGTTTACTGACGTCATGAGCATGCACAATAGGAATACGAAGCACGCTCGCGCAATTGAATTTGATTAGTCAAATTTACCAGCTATATTATAATAATAATTTAGTAACAGCAGAATCGGCTGGAAGTCACGGAAGTGACTAAATTCTGATGATAAATTCGGCTAAGGAGGTCAAAATGTCACTTGAAACAAACAGATATAGAGGACATTATATTGAGAGTTGAAAGTAATTTGGACTTAAGCTCGCTCTGTGATTGGTCCAGAAAACTCGTGCCAATTCATTAATTAATCACATTCAAAACTAAAACCAATTGCAACTGACTTGCGTTTTTCTCTGCAAAGTGATGTTCGCTTGTTTTTTTTTTGGGTTCTCATTTTATTGTGTGATGTTTTCCTTTGCTCTGATTGATTGTTGGGATTACTTTGGGTTTTGTCTTATGACAACCAATCGAAACGCACTCTTGATAGCGATCCTCGAGGACAATATTTTGCTTCAATGACGGTGAATTTATGAAAATCATGTATGTGATCTGCAGATTAAGAAATGAAAATGAAAGGGATTTAAACCCTACTTAGGCATTAGTGAAAATATAGCTTGAAAAAAATTAAGGCCTGTACGGGATTTGAAGTTCGAAGCAAAGATGCTTTCATGTTCAGTATTTTGCTTGTTACATCTCATATTTTAAGTGTCCTTTAGGAAAATGTTGTAATAGTCGACAGCCCAGGAATTGGCGAATCTACCATCATGGATGACATAGTAAAGGAGTACCTTCCAGAGGCTTTCGCATTTATTTACGTCATCAACATTGTAAACGCCGGTGGAATACAGCTAGATAGGGTAAGGCACTTTAAAGTGCGAAATGTATTCTCATTTCAAAAATAATTAAAGGAAAATGTGCTGCAAAAATCGTATCATTTTTTGAATCCTCTATTTTTAAAAAGTGTTAGAGTAACTAGATTGTTCAAAAGTTTTTAGTCAAATGCGCAAGAAGAAGGAACTTAACGAACAGAGATGCTCCTGCATAGCGGTTACGTGAGGCATAACGTTTCCAAAACGGCAACTTCTGAACTATTCAAAAAGAGTCGACAGATATGTAATTCTATATTTTGGCCTTCAGGTGAAAAGACTTATCGAACACGCCAGACAGGTATCTATTGACAAACAAAGGGAATCTTCCTCAAATTGTGCCCTTTTTGTTTGCAACAAGTGGGACCAGGTGCCGCCAGTAGAAACTGGTGAAGTTAAGAACCATATCCTGACGAAACTCACGCAGTGTTGGCCCTCTCTGGATCCAGAATCTCAGATCATTTATATGTCAGCAAGAGATGCCAGTGAAGCTCAGAAGCTTGGAGTAGTCACGGAAGAGTTTGCTAAACTAATGAATGGTATCAAGTCCATGGTGTTGAAAAGTATTGAAGCAAGACTACAGATTCAGTGGAGGTAAATTGCTTTGAATCCTTAGCGACAAAATTATTATTGAAGAAGTTGAGAATGTATTTTTAGTTCTGAAATAGGAATGAAAATATCTTTAGTTTGATGCTGCGTGAAATATATTTTTCAGGAAACAAAAACGCATTAGCCGAAGGTAATACAGTGCATAAAATGTTAATTCAGTGCAAAAAAAGCCAAGAAACTCTTTAGCCTGGCTTTGCATAAGTAAATATAGTGATGAAGTGTAAAAGACAATTGAAAAATTTCTTTATTCTTAGGTGGCTTGACTATCTTCTTGCACGTATGGCCCTCCACACCAAAGCGTTCATTCGTAATTCGTCCGAAGATCGTAAAGATGTGATAGATAGAATGATGTTTATCACAAACCGCCTCCAAAGTATTGAGAGGCAGCAAGGTACAGTAAGCAAAGAGCTGCAGTCTTACCTCGAAAACAAGACAGACCACGCCGTGCGCGAACTGTCCAGATACCTTAAGTCTCCCGAAGTTATACAGCAGTTTTCTTCGTGGACATTAGATGACGTTCCAAACACTGAACAAAGCTGGGAACTGACTAAGAATTACATCCAAAAGGCGCTGATGAGGCGACTTCAAGAAAAGATAAAGGAATGGGAAGAAAAGAACCATGTCTTTTCTGATGCTCGCGCCTCTTTGATTCAACACTTTCAGGAGAGGTTCAGCTACGTCGAAGGTCAACTTCGAGTGCTGGAGGGCTCTGTCTTAGCCGGAGATGCTGCCAGCTCAGCAAGTAACTCGCCGGTATTGGATGACTTTAGCGTCGTCGAAAAAGTCATCATCGGGGTTGCAAGTCCAATTTGGGTTCCAGTTGGTCTGGTTGTCTTAGTGGTCAGTGTCCCGGTAATTGGCGCCATGGCAGTTAAAGAGAAGTTGGAAGACTGGAATAAAACAAGACAATACAACAAAGACAGGTGTGCATTTATGGCGAAAGCTTCCCAAGAATATCTGAATGAATCAGCTGAAGAACAGCATTTAAAGTCGTTCGTGATGGAACAGCTTAAAGAAGCTCAGGTTTGTCTTAAGCAGGTCTTAGATCGGATCCCTCAGCTCATAGAAGAGGACAAAATGTTGTGTCAACAATTGAGAGATGAGAACCGTTCTAAGAAAGAAGTAGAAGATTTCTACCAACCGCTACACAAAAAGAGTGTACAAATAAGGGATGAGATGGCCCTGTTTGGCATTAAAGAGGTTCGCACCATGGACATCAGCTGCGACAATCTGGAGTGGAAAGACAATGCACTTCTTGGAAGTGGAACGTTTGCTGCCGTTTATCGAGGAAAATTGAAGATACAAGGAGAGGATAAACCCGTAGATGTTGCTGTGAAAGTGTGGAACGAGGAGCTCAACGAAGATACTGCTAGCGGCTTTCTTTCTGAAGCAGAGATACTCAGGTTGGTTTTGTTATGTTTTGGATCTTGGTATGTTATATTGTTAATGAAGGAAAATACATCGGCTAAAATCTTGGGGAAGTACTGGATATATGCTGGCCAGTAGCTAATGAGATATTTTCTGAATCTTTAAATTCTTTTCTGTTCAAGGAGCTCATAGTCATGAGAGTATTTATTTAAATTACGTGGTATTTTTCTGACGCTTTCAGAACACCCAGAATCTAGGCATATTTTTACGGGGAGGCACATCATTCATTTTCCCAACAATTCATTACCGTTAGAACTCTTAGAAATCTGCTGAATCAAGCATTACAGTCAGATAATAAGTGAACTGATTGAAAACAGAAGAAGTTCTTGATTGATAATCGAAATTTTCCTGTCAGTATCAGAAAATGAATAAAGATTGTTAGTTTCTAGAAAAACTATGGTGCTTGGTCGATGATGAGGAGTATAACAGGGTATTTTAGTATTATCAACTGAGTTGATGACGTAAATTGGCCACCGTAAAGAGTTTGAAAGCTGACGTTTCGAGCGTGTTAGCCCTTCGTCAGAGTGATTGACGAAGGGCTAACACGTTCGAAACGTCAGCTTTCAAACTCTTTACGGTGGCCAGTTTACGTCATCAACTCAGTATCAGAAAATATTTGGATAACAGTATAGAGAATATATGTGCATACTGTTTTATGAGTGAAGGTTGTTTCCGCTACGTTTTCTTTATGTAGGAGACTGAATTATCCCTCTATTGTAAAGTTCTATGGTACAGCACTTCACAAGGAAGGGGGGCAGCTAAAAGCAGTTCTGGTGACGGAGCTCTGCAAGGAAAACTTGATGACGCACATTTTCCGGCATGAAGGCAATATATCTGGAAAGTCATCAACTACTACAGCTGCGAGAGATATGATTGGATGGGCAAAAGACATCGCCGATGCTTTGGAATACATTCACAGACAAGGCATCGTTCACAGAGATCTCAAGCTGGAAAATATATTGGTGAGTTAAGAATTGGGACTAGTGGTTATCGTGACTATTTATAATTATAATCATCTTCGTAATCGAGACTCATCTCGCATTTCATCGAATTCTTATTCGCTCGCCTTCACCCAGTTTTCCTGATTTCTGCGTGAGATACCTGTGGCAGACCACGCTATAAATTCGCTTAAAATTAGCCGCGTTGTTGTGCTTCTCAATGAAATTGGCTGGGGCTGGATTGGCAACCGAACATGATATCCTGTTTTGTCTTCAGTTTTCGATTTAATTCCTGTAATTTGAAGGATCAGCATTAAATTCATTATTTTCCACGTAAAACCAGTGTGACTGTAGATAACGACTAACGCGTCCCAAGTTAACACTTCCAGGCGTCTCGTTCTCACTTTGTCTTACCTTCTTTTAAGAGGTCTCGTCTTTTTCGGGTTCCACTTGGCGAAGCCTTCAGTA